CCAAATAAGAGGGTTTTAGGGCCCAAACACTATAATATTAATGGTATTTTCTGAAACCCTATTATTTAGATCCTTGGACCCTTATATAGTCCCCATATATCCCTATATATCCCCCTATAACCCCTGTAAAGGGAGCCCTGTTATTTGGGTCCTTGAACCCTTAGGGACAACTTTTGTGACAGCGGCTTCCCTTCGCTTCTACGAGTAATTTCCGGAACCGGTACCAGACGCGCGCTCACCCCCCTTGCACCGAAAGGATTCCAAAAGAAACCTACCCAAGAAGTGCGCCCTACAGGGGCACAGTTGGGGGGGGGGGGGTCCGGGTTCTCAAACAAGGGGTGCCGCTTGGGGATGCTTGAGATGTATGCAGAGTATACCGGAATTGTTGGGGTCCCTGCCTTGAGTTACTTGCAGGACAAGAGGAGAGAAGCTCCCCACATAATCCGTGGAAATTGATCATGACTAAGACCCACGTTCGTCAGGCATCAGAAGGAACGTAACAAGTTCCTGCGAGAAGCAAACCACATCTGGATAAGCCATGGAAAGGTGCGTGGAATGGCCTTGAGGTCCCAAACCTAGACCTCACATGCCCGGCCCTAGACTCTAGATCCTATACCGCTAACCAGCATCAGCGCTAGGTTGTCTGGCAGGAAGGGTCATGCAGGATTTTGTTGAGACAGCATCAAACTGGAGGAAGGGATCGCTTCAGCAGTAGGGGCATACAGTCTGTGATTCTGGTTTCGCGAACCTATGGGTTTAGGGTTTAGGGTTTCATTCCCTACCAAGCACCAGCGCGCCAAACAGAACGTGACTCTTAAGCCAAGTGGCAAAGTCAAAAACGAGTCGTCGCAATGGAAGGCTGCATGCGTTAGCAGCGTCTCCTGATATTGCGATGCTCCCTAAATAGTAGTTTCCATTTTCTTCTCCATTATCCCTATATTCCATATGTATATGTATATATATATATGTATACCCCTATATAACCCCAATATAACCCTAATATATAGCCCCCCTTAAGTAGATAGAATATGGCTTTGGGTATACTATAATAAGCTCCCCATATACCCCTCATTCTATCTACCTAAGGGGGACTATAACCCTTCATTGGGCCGGGACAATACCATCCAGTCAACCTCTGCTACTCGATCAGGGCAGTTCTGCCTAGAAGCCCATTTTCCTAAATATAGGTCTATTTACTGCACCATTCCATGAGAGACCTACCTGAAGCCTACCTGAAGCCCAAACGCTTGACCCTGAACCCTATCATATAGCTCAAGATGCTACGGCAGACGTACTGGGCAGTCTGAATGCCCGTCGCAGGCATCGGGCATTTAGGGACCCTAAACATTAAACCCTGCACGCGAAACCCGAAACTCTAAACCCTAAGTCCTTAAACCCTGAACCCTAGAGCCCTAAACTCTGAAACCCTAAGCCCTAACTCCTACCACCCTAAAACCCGAAACCCATCCTGCTTGGTGGCATCTGGGTAGTAATGGGCAATGGCAGTGGTAATCTGCAAAGCCCCGGCGAGGGAACCCGGCGCGAAGTTGAGGCCATGCTCCTTAAAGGGTTTTGGGTTGTGGGATTCAGGGTTGTCTGGTTGTGGGGTTTAAGGTTGTAGGGTTTAGGGTTGGGGCGTTTCAGGGTTGTGGGGTTTGGGGTTGTAGGGTTTAAGGTTCTAGGGTTTAGGGTTTAGGTTTGGGGGCTTTAGGGTTGTGGGGCTTAGGGTTCTTGTTACGGTTTCGGGATTCAGGGTTCAGGGGTTCAGGGTTTGCGAGCTTAATTAGCTTCAGGCTTTCTGGCTTATGGAGTTTAGATTTCTGGGGTCTAAAGTTTAGAGCGAGGATTTCTGGATTTCAAGGGTAGGGTTCGGCGGCCAAGAGAGTACGTATGTTGGGCACTGGGGCTTAGTGGTTTCTGGAGGCCTGGCGAAGCTCACGTGTGAAACCCTAACCCTAAACCCTAAACCCCTGGTCATGAAGCTCTGTGGCTGTGCGTCAACCTGAGGCCCTCACACGAAACTGTTAAAGTGTCTAGCCATTCAACTAGCGTTCCCCCCACAAGTAGTAACGCCAAGAAGATTGCGAGTCTCATCGCGAAGATCTCTAAATGAAGACACATCTGGTAGTTTCCCAAAACAAGGGGACCCCAATATAGACCCCCAAAATACTATAGTCCTTATTATGGGGACCCCAAAAGGGTACCCCTAATTTTGGGAAACCCTAATCCCCATATACCCCTATATAACCCCAGTTTCCATTTCATTTTCCATGTTCTTTTCCATTTGATTCTCCATTATAGTAGGTAGTAGGTACCCCTAATTTTGGGAAACCCCCATCTATTGCTTGCGGCAAAATGTAATACGAAGGCACTCCGCTACCCTCGTGGGACCACTCACGAGCCCTCTGATACGCGCCCTTCGAACTAACAAGGCCGAATACAACCTACCGTAGTAATCATCCCCAGTAATAACCCCGAATAGGGCCTTAGCTTGGCGGTGCTGCCACCATCCCAAACTCCCAAACGGGCGTTCAAATTTGACAGGTCCCCCTTTCATACTCAAATTCCTCCCTATTGCTCAGCAACCCCTCTCGGCTCACTGTATATAGACACGAGTGAGAGACTCATAGCTTCGTAGCCAGGCCGCAAGCACATCCTCCAGGTAAGGGAGTATGTGCCTCTGGAGGCCTGCCAATAGCCTCTCCACGCCACAAAACCCTGGATTCCTACGCCTACAAAAATCTTATCCTAAACCCTAAATAGTAGCTTCCATTTTCTTTTCCATTATCCCTATATAACCCCCATATAACCCCAATATACTGTAACAATCCCCCGTAATGGTACCCCTAATTTTGAGGGCTTGGGCAGGGGGAATAGTGCAGGCTTCAGGGCCTGTTGGAGCAGACTTTTCGGGGTTCCTAGGATCCTGAATTTGGAGCTTGGGCCGCGGAATCCTTGGCCTGTGGTCCGGGATAGTAGGGACGGGGATCTGCCAAAGCAAGGGGTTCTTGTTTGAGGGCTCTTGGAGTGAATGCTCATCGGGCTTACGCAATAAATGACAAACCAAACCAGTAAAAATAGAATGAACAAGCAAACGGAGGCCGAAAACAGTACATACCTAAGCGAACCAAACCGTTTGACAGATTGTCGAAACTGCACCGAAGCGAACCGTGGCTTGCGGGTGTTTAGGGGGGAGGGGATCATGCACGCCTCTACAATACGCATATGAGCCAAAGTCTAAACTCCTTAAAGGGGTTCATATTATATGGGGGATTATATAGGGGACCACTATAGGGCAAAAGGGGGATAGTAGGAATTTAGACTACAGCTCATATGAAAGCCCCGCCTGTCCAAACGGAAGGGTGCGTCCGGTGGGTCAGTCGATCCGTCCTGGCGGCGCTCAGCTGTCAGGGTAAATGCGGCAAAACCTCCAGCTCTGACACTACAGATACTATTCTAGGGTTTAGGGTTTAGGGTTTAGGGTCCAGCTCTGACACTACTGATACTATTTTAGGGTGGTTTAGGGTTTAGGGTTTATAAAAACTATCATAACCTGTAAGTGTACTTGGAAAGCTCTTCGTGTTGGCGATAACTAAGATCTTAATCTTTAGGGTTTGGGGTATAAAGTTTAAGACTATCAGGGATAAGTTTGAGGGCAACATGAGGGGTCTCTCAGAAAGGGGCTTGATGGGATGTATAGGGGATCTTTGCAAGGGTCCTCCCGTAGTAACGCTACTTACATAAAGGCTCATGTATAGGGCGCAGCATGTAAAGACTCAAGTTCCACCAGCGAAATTACACGTAAGTACAGCGGTAGATCTCTCACCCAAAGGGTCCATGTAGCTATATGGGGTATACTTGGGCCTAAAAGTAGGTATATGGGAACCCTTTTGGGCCCTAAGTATGTACCATATACCTACCCTAAACCCTAAACCCTAAACCCTACCCTTTGGGTCCCACTTGTCACCCCCACACTTCTGGCTCACCTTGAGTAAATCAAGTGTGATGCTAGCACTTTGCATTTCAGATTGCCGTTCGCGCGACACCTAAATCCAAAATGATATATGGGGTTTCCCAAAATTCGGGGTACCATCTTAGGGGTCCCTATAATAAGGACTATAGTATTTTGGGGTCTATATTGGGGTCCCCCTATTTAGGGAAAGTACCATATAGTAGTTTTCATTCTTCCATTATCCTAAGTCCCTTTGTTGAAGCGCGCTGCAGGCAGGGATACTTTGGGGTTGGGCCGGGCATGGCAACTCGAGGGTCAAGCGTTCTGGAGAAGGCACAACCCATGAACCAAGGACCTTGGCCATCTCAACTGAAGAACCCTACAATGGCCCAGGCAAAACTCCTAAACCCTAACCCTAAGGCTTGTTACAGGTGTTCTGGCAGGTTTCTCCTCTCGAACGAAGGCCAAGTAGTGCGGATGGCTGTACATCTCTGCCGACCTTCGCGAGGATACCCTGGCCCCGAATGAAAAAAGGAACGCCCAAGACGGATGTTAGCCAGACCCCCTGAAGTATCCGAAAAAAGTGCATGCCGCCCAAAAGGCCCTTTACAACATTGGGGAAACTAGAAGGTCAGAGGGTCTGGGTAGCTTGACGTGAGCTCTAGGACTCGAGGTGAAGGCATGATTTTGGGGGGAAACGGTTTAGGGTTTAGGGTTTAGGGACTTGTTGGAAGGATTTTGGCTTAGCGACTTTCAAAGTTCATAAAAAAAATCAAGATGGAGAACCCTTCTGACAAGATCTCGACAACTTGAACCCTAGACCTTTTTTAGGGCTTAGGGTGTCAGGTTTATAGGCTTCTAGAGGGATTCAACAGGACTTTTTATGGGGGATTGGAAGAGAAAGCAAAGCTATTATTTAAGGCTTGGGTCGATTAAGACGCAGGGGTTCCCTCATCGAGACTTGAAGGTTTCCCCGTTTTTGGGGGAAACCCCAACCAGATCATTCTCGCTAGGGTTTAGGGTTGAGAGGCAAAGCATCACGGGACAAACTCCAAACAATGAACCAACCAACCAACCAACCAACCAAACAAACAAACAAACACTCAGTTCGCCGGTTCAACCGAAAACGCTCAGCTCTGAAACGCCCACTGAACTCAACATCCTTCATCTAGTATACCCTACAGTGAGACTCCAAGGAGCCGAAGGAAGGCATGATCAATAGACTTCAGGACCCCATGTGAGCTATAGTCCAAACTCCTGAAAAGGGGGTATATCGGGGAGTATGATACAGGTTATCAGGGGGGATACTTGGAGTTTAGACTATAGCTCATGTACTCATTACTGCTGGACTTGCAGCCCTGGAGGTGCCTTGGCGATGGCTTGCAACCGCACAGCCCAACCCCTGAGTTATGCCTCTGTTTTGCGGGCCATGCTTGGGGTTTGGGCCCTCAAGCACCCCAAAAAGGACCTAAACCCTAAACCCTAGGTCCCATTTGTGGATATTTGGGGCTGTATAGGGGTACTTTCGAGCTGGTCTCAGCGGAGTTTAGGATTTAGCCATGAGAAAGGGATTCCTTTTCGAAGCTAGAAGCCTGAATGCTCAGAAGCATCTACTTAGGGATCCACGTAGCCCAAAGTAGGTAATATCTACAGACGCTAGGGCCCGACGTAAGTATTATTTGTACACTTGGATCCCTTTGGATCTTGTCGCCTTCGAACTAACTAGCCCTCGTAAACGTAAACGATGCTGTACCTCTCTGGCAGCATGCTATTCCAATTATCTAGGCCCCTTAGCACGAATGCCTAGTCCGCAAAGCCCGAGAAATCTCCTCATACATATGCGGCCATGTAGAACCTGTTTGCCCATTTTGAAACCTTCTTATGCCCGAACCTCCATTATACCAACCCCCAAGGCCTAAACCCTACACCCACACGGTTTAGGGTGTAGGGTCCTCTAAGCACTTCTTGGCAGCTGTAAGGACGCCAAGTAGACACAATTGTAGCTGCGTCCAAGTACAAACCCCCGTCGGAGGTTCAGCGTAACTACATTATGACATTGGAAGTCCCTTAATGCGGGGCCATTCAGTTTAAACCTTCCTCTGCAGTTGGTATGTTTACACTTCGCGCATCATTCCCCCGAATCTCTGAACCCGAACTCGAACCCCCAAAACAGCGGAAGATGGAAACAACTTCGCACCATCTAGTATCCCCAACACACTGCAATCACCATAATCGGAGCTGCATAGGATGGTGAAAGATGTCCTCCATCCACAGTAATACCCTAAACGCAACATGATATAGTTCGCATATCAGTCTCTATGTTCTGCTCCACTTGATTCTCCCCCTCTTGTACATTTAGGGTACCCCAAATGGGACCCTAAACCCTAAACCCTCCTCACTAAATCCTATCCACTCCCTCACTGCCCCTGACAAGCCTGGCCGGCCTTGGAAAGACCCAGCCGCAGCCGAAGCCACGCCAGCCCCAATCGTCCACATTAGCCATGCGCTCTCGGAACTCCTTCGTCCAACTCAGGGCACAGAGTTTGTTTGGGATTTAGTGTGTGATGTTTGTTTGTTTTGGGTTTTGCAGTGCCACATTTTTCAACCTGGCTGGTTTAGGGTGTAGGCTTCAGTGATGCGGCCTAGGAAAAAATGGTGCGGACATTGGGTAGCCTGAGGACTGTTTCCCTCTTCCGTGGCATTTTGCTCGTGTACCTCGCTCAGGCAAAGTGATACCCCAAGAAGGTCTGAATAGTCCTTTTGCTACGAGTTTTGGGTTTATTGGAGTTATAGTAGTTCCCCTTAAGTAGATAGAATATTAGGTTGTATTGGGGTTATATAGGGATAATGGAAAAGAAAATGGAAACTACTATATAGTATATTAGGGTTATACAGGGGTTATATAGGAATTATGGGGTTATAATAGGGATCCTAATATTAAGGTCCTTAAAAGCAGGGGGGCTTATTAATCATGAGTCTAAACCCTAAACCCTAAACCGCGTTAGGGGCGGCCCCTTCCCACCAGCTCCAGTGGATCTCTCCCATTAACCAAACAGACTTCTCTTGGGGATTCCCTAAGCTCTAAACCCTCAACTCTGAACAAGAAGATGCTCCCCTTTGAAGGTGCCAACCCTAAACCGTAATTCCTAAACCCTAAAACCTATAGAGTCACAATGTGCCACTTCTCAGGGGTTCGTGCAATGTTTCCATAAAAGAAATGCTGCTCCAGCCGCATGGGCGCCACCAAAGAGATAGCAAGGAGCTTAGTGTAGCGGAAGGCTACGCGAAAGGTCTGAAACATCTAGGGGTTGAAGGTGTAGAGTGTACATCAAACATTACATGCCAAACCCTAAACCCTAATACAGTGGACATGCCAACCCAGATCCTTACCCACAGCCAACCTGGACCTTGGATTTCCTTCCGATCTGTGGCTTCTGTCTTCTAATCTTGTAGGTTACGGTAAATCCCCAAATAACTTACAGGGTTTAGGGTAGGGAATAAGNNAATAAGGGAACAACCTCGCAATATATTATACTTCCTTACTCCCTTCTAAGAACCAGCAATCAGAAAGGTATGACATCTAGGGTCCAGGCAGGTCTTAGGAACCTCTAGGATGACGCCAAACATCTGAGCGGCATAGCTACTTGAATGGTCGAGGGGCTTGGAAAATTAGTGCTTCCGTTCATTGGGTGGACCCTTTTTGGGGGTTCCTATAACTACTTGTAGCATTAGAGGTGCATGGAAAATACCAAGCGAATCCAAACGGCAGTGATCTGGAGGGGCATATAACGTTGTTAGCGGCAAGCCATCTACGATGCCAGTAGATGAGTTCAGTATGTTGAACAATGTGGAAACCTATTTAGAATCCACTTGAGAAATGTGAATGCAACCCGAAACCCTCCAAAGGGAGTGTAGTGCAGGGGCCCCAGTGATTACTAGTAGTGTTCCCTCCAATTCCTGGAATGTTTGATCATACCCATACTCAAGAATACTCAGGCTCCTCAACGCTCTTCAGGGTACCATTGCTTCTAGCTGCAATCATCACTGTACACCCTTTGAAGCCTTTGGCAGCCCCAGCACGGCCCGTCCGACCCTGAAAAACCCTACAGAGTACCTAAACGCCTGAGCTATTGGACCCGATCCTGCCGCGCTAGTTCTAAGACCTCTGCGATGAGACCATCGACTCCTGGGAGTGTGCGCTTCTGACTCTGCCCTGGAATCCACCAGACATCATTTTTGTTTTTTGTTTTGGTGGGCGGGTGGGTGGGTGGGTGGGTG